GTCAATTCGCATAGCACTTCTTTACCTCCTCCTTATTATTGTACCACACCCACACTTGCTGGTGTGCCCCCCTGTTCTGTTTCTTGTATCCTACTGGTTTCCACTGAAAAACCTCTTTAAATTTGTGTTGAGCTTGACATCCTCTCGGTCGTTTCTTGTAAATTTCCCCTCCCCCTTCCTCGTTGTTACCTGGTCCTTGACTGTTGTTTTCCTTTGATGGCTGTAAAAACAGCTTCGGGTCATTTTTTCTTTTGAGCTTTTTCTTTTCATTTGTCTTGACTCCCTTCTTATCTGTCAATTCTTTCTTCTCCGTTTCTTTATTTTCCCTGATTTCCTTTTCTGTACCTTTTTCCCTTTTTCTTAGAAACATATTTTTTTGCCTCCCTACCCCTTTTGGGGTTTGAACCAAGGACTCTTTTTTTCTTCCCTTTTTCTTTTTTCCCTTGGGAAAAAAAACCTCCCCTCTGCCCCTTGCTTTTGTTCTACAAGTCCATCTTTTTCTTGTACTGGTTATCCTGTCTTTCCCTCTCCAACAAAAGTCTTGAAAGGGAATTCCTTTGCCCGAGTAGTTCCCCCTTTTTTAGTTTTGGGGTTTTTCCCCGCCCATTCCTGCACTTCTCCACTTGGAGCTCAAATAGAATCGAAAACAGAACCACATGATCATGCTCCCCGGGCCTTTTACATGATACCCCGATGTCCGAACTACTCTGGTGAATACAAGGTCCAAACCCTTTCGGTTTATCCCTCCTCTCTCTCTGGTAGTGTCTCAAAGTTGAGCTGGGTTCTCCAGTACCACATCCTCATCTTGGCTCCCAGTTTCGGGACCCCCCTGGGGGCCCAGGTTTTCCCAGTCAATTTCCCTTTTTATGAAAATCACCCCTAACTAGTAAATTGCTCCCCCAGTGTGCTCTTCTGGCCACCCGGCTAGTGTGTTTACATTTCCTGTTGCTCTCCGTATTCTTCTCTTGGCCCCCTCGTTTTTGGGTGGGTTGTACATTTCTGCAATTTCACCTTATTTCCCTCGACTGGATTGTTTCTATAAGTAGCCTTCCCCCCGCCATGTGTTGCGTGTGTGTGTGTGTGTGTTGGTGTTGTGTGCGTTTTGTGTGGTTTCGTTGGGGTTTTTGGGGTGTGTGGCGTGTGTGTTGGTGGTGCATGTGGTATGTGTATGTGTGTGTTGTGGCGCGATGTGTGTGTGTGTGTGTGTGGTGTTTGTGTTTGGTGTGCGCGTATGTGTGTGTGTGGGGGTCCTGTGTTTGTGTGTTGTTGGGGTGTGTGTTTTTTGGTT